ACAAAATCAGCAGGGGATCAAATACTTTTTTCCCTCACTGTACCTCTTACCCATCCATCTATCACATCCGTCTACAGCACTTTAAAAACATACTTAGGTGATATTAATGATGATTGAAAATGACGATGATCGTGATACTGATGAACCTTCGACGTTAAATATAGACTAGCTTGTTAGCCCGTCCTAGGACGGAAGATATAATTATAAAAATGTTAGTATACGTTTTATTGTGCTATTGCAAATGTAGGTACGAAAATCGGGGTGTAACATTGTTTTTTGTAGAAAATAATAAATGAGGTCAAGGACTTTGGAAGATTTCTCGGTATACGATATTTTGTGTGAATCTCTTATCACTGTTCAAAAGGTTCCCCTGCAGTTGGCTATCCTTGATGAACACTTAGATACGCTGAGGATATTTAGATCCCGACAGAGTCACGTATAACTGTCCATGGGAAAATACAGGTTTTTTTTAGATAAATACTCAAATTTTCAACAGTCTGACCCTGCAACTTGTTGATTGTCATTGCATACGCTGGAATTATGTAAAGTTGTTGTCGTTTACAAAATGTCCTTTGCGCCTAAACAAATTCAATTACTTTAGGCGCAGTGCTCTGAGACTTACTCATGGTGTGCTGTAGCTCGCCGGAGTAGCAAACCATTTGAATAGGAGGCAATGGTGGCAAAACAGCAGAGAAATGTTTATTTTAGCAGAATTTGCAAGCGTTAAGTTGACCTTGCTTTTTGCTTGACGTGGCGATGAAAGAAATTAAGGCAGTGGGATGTGGCGTGGAATTGTCTGGTTATAAGCTCCGGATAAAGAGGCGACAATGGACGTTAAAAAAATGTCATTTGTGCCTAAACAAAGTGTCATTTCCGCTGCACCTTTCTCCTTACGGAGTGACGATGATTAATTAGCTGAATTGTAATGGCGGGGAATATGGTACAAAAAAACGTCACAAAAACACCGTACTGAATGTAACTGTAGCACTGTATTAATGTGAGTTAATGTAGCACAAAAGGAAGGCATGAAACCCCTTACAGCGATTGTTGCGCGCAACAATGGTGATAAAACAGGTGACGCAATTCCGTCTGTGCCACTGCTTCAAACGGACATTCAAAGACTTTAGGTGCAGTGCCCTGAGACGTATAGTTATCCTCTTTAGCTCGCCGGAGTCGCAAACAATTGTAATTGGAGTCAATGGCCGCAAAGCAGCTGTGAAATGTTGATTTTAGCATAAATGCTCATTTGAGCCTAGTTTGCAAGCGTAACGTTGACCTTAGGCTTTTTGTCTGACGTGGCGAAGAACGGAAACGAAGCCAGGAAATGCAGTGCGACGTGACGTTGCATTAATGTTATGGTTAACTCTCTATAAAGACGGGTGAATTGGCGTTACAAAAGCAGCAAGAGTCGCCTCCAACTTCCCGAGCGTTAGTAATGAAATGCAGAGACACGTGGACGTTTATGAGGGGAGGGGCCGCGTGTGGAGTGACGTGACGCGCGGGTGACACACACACACACGGACGTTTAAAGATTACTTTAGAATAGTCGCAAAGCGCACGCAATTGTGCCTAAACAAATTGAAAGTTTCCGCTCCACATTTCTGCTTGTCTAGCGACGTCATAGTAGGTATGACCAACTATGGATATACTAAAATACATGGAATTTCACAAATACCCCCCCCCCCAACACCCTCCCCCCCCCAAAAAAAACGTACTTGTTCTGGAACACATGCACACGACAACAATAACAACAACCACCACCACCATTTGCCACTAACTGACAATGATGTCATCTCAGTGCTTGGGCCATGTTAGGGTGCGTTTTGAGGCCACGTGAAGTGTCGAAGGCTTGCTGGAATGAGGTCAGGGGGCAGAGATTATTTGGTAGATACACCACCTGTGCTCCCCACTGTGCCACCAAAAGACAAGGACAAATATCCCCCGTATAGCCTGCAACGGACTGTTGGGGCAAGTGCTGTTGGCAAGCACCCACGAAGGCCGGCATGGCACACGAGGTGGGTGAGAGTGGTTCGTTGCTTCTCGTCCTCTGTGAGGTTGTCCGGCATTGGTGTCTGTTGGTGCACAAAATGGATTTCCATGGGGAAACCAAAACAAGCTCCGTTTAACACGTAGAAGGCTTTCACGAGCAAAATAATCCATAATAGATGTTTTTTTTTGGGTTAGATCGCGTAAATATATAAATGTGTCGTTAAACCCGCCACCACCCGACACAGCCAATTAGTAAGGGTTGTTACGTAAACAGAACGTGGCCAATTCGTTACGAGTACAGCACACCGGTGTGTTGGAGAGCCAGGCCACAACATTTTCAATCTGAGTACTTAGATCTGAGCACTCAGTTTGAGTACTCAGATTGAATATGCTGTGGCTTGGCTCTGAGTACTCAGATTGAAAATGTTGTGGCTTGGCTCTCCAACACACCGGTGTGCTGTACTCGTAACGAATTGGCGTGCTCTGTTTACGTGGCAGCCCTTACTAGTCGTCTGTGTCGGGTGGCGGCGGGTTTAACGACACATTTATATATTTATACGCGATCCAACCCCAAAAAAGCTCTATTATGGACGACAAAAAAAAGCACGTGAAACAAATGCCGGTCTCGTGCAGAGTCCAGAGCACGCACCTCGGCTCTCCGCTTGGCACTGCGAACACTTTCAGCAGCACTGCCTTTCCACAGCTCGCCACTCGATCTGCTCCCACGCTGAGAATACAGGCTGTCTGGGCACAACAAAGAGGGCTCCCCACGTTTCTTCTTTCTGCGATGCTATGAACGCATCGCACGTTCTCTAGCACTGCAGCTTTATGCTTATAGTGGAATATATGTACGTTTGCATGTAAAGTTGAACTTCTTTCGCACCGTACGTTGCGAACCGTGCTAATCGGAGGTGCGCGGGGGAAGGACAACAAACTAAACACTAAAACGCAGTTCTAAAGAAATGAGTTTTGCAATCTAGATTTAAAAATGCTGCAGCTTCAGTGGCTTCCTAAATATTGGAAGGAAGAGCGTTCCAGACGGCCGCAGAGGCGCATCTGAGAGCGCACGATGCAATGGCCGTCTTTGTTCGACGGTTCGCCAAAAGCCGCTGCTGCTGCTGCGAGGATGACCGGGAGTTTGCGTGATGGTTTATCGGTCTGAGACTGGGATTTTTACGGTCGGAACTGTTTTGAAGGCAATTGCTCTCCCCGTTGCCTACTCGTCCACGTGTTTGTTTAGAGAATTTGAAATTTACCTAGGCAAATTGCAAGTAATGATGAGCGATGATAATAGCGATGAAATTGTGGTCTCAAATGTTTGTTGGTGGGCAATTATGAATATACTCAACCATGCTCGTGAAACTTCACAGTTTTAAGGCCTTCCCCTTCACATATATGCACACATGTATTCATATACACACAACGGTAAAGATCACCCGTATAGTCTTATAGGCTGTTTTTACACACCGCATCAAATACCAATTTAAAGCTATCGTAACCTAGGAAAGGCCCGGTACCAATTCATATTTCGCTTGGCACTGATGTTAGCTGTGGCTGGGAGTACACCTCGTTGCGCCGGGTTCACAGTGTGGAGTGCGAGTCACTGTGCCATTACAAAGAGAAAGATCCCCCGTATAGGCTTTAACAGACTTGGGGCAAGTGCTGTGAGCGAGCACCTATGGAAGCCGGAGTGGCACACGAGGGGGTGGGTGGCCAGCACCACACCCGAACGCCTTTGTCTCCCCCGTAGCGATGATAACACACCACACCAGGTATTAATTTGAAGTTGAGTCGACCTAAAGGGGGCCCAAGACCGATTCATATAATCGTCACTGGTTTGGCCGTGAGCTGGAATCGAACTCAGTCGCCGGGTTCATAGCGCAGCAATGATAACCACGACACTACCGCTCCACAAAAAGACAAATATCCCCCATATAGCCCTAACAGACGGTAGGGGCAAGTGCTGTTAGCGAGCACCTATGAAGGCCGGAACGGTACACGAAGGGCTGGATGGCCAGCACCACGCCCGGCCGCCTTTGTCTCCCCAGTGGCGATGTTTACACACCGCACCAGGTACTCATTTGAGGCTGAGTCGACCTAGGGGAGGCCCAGGACCGGTTCAGATAATCGTCACCGGGTGTTGGCCGTGAGCGGGAATCAAACTCGGGTCGCCGGGTTCGAAGCGCAGCGTGGCGCTAACCACGACACTTACCGCTCCCCACACACACACACACATGATGGTTGAAATCGGCCAGGACACCAAACATGCGTGCCGGCACTTTTCAGAGACCTGTTCGTATTCCTGCGCGACGATGTTTCCGCAGAGGTAGGAAACGAACGTCTGCGATCGTGAGGTCGCCGCCGTGCGGATAGGGTTCACGCCACCACTTCTGCATTGCCAATTCAATCACTTTACCACGCGTGCACGACTTGGACGGATGGAGATGCGATTTGCCGTCCTCGCAGTCGCAGCTCTGGTCCCTGGCACCGGAAGGTCACGAGGCGCCAGGCTGTGTGGCATTTTTCGCACGGCGTTGTTTCAAGAAGGGATTTCCATTCTCTGGTGTGCCCCTTTCAAACGATCCTTGTAGGATGTGGTCGCTTAAAAAATAGAGTACACTGCGTTCAGGAATGTCAGTCACTAATGGCTCGAGGGTGAAACAAAACAAGAATAACTCCTGCAATGGACATTGCTTTTGGACCTCCAAGTGGCTTTGGTTCGTCTCGTTCTTGTGGTTTGAACGCAAGCACATTGTGAAATTAGATGCAACATGCCGTGTGTTACGAATTAACTACCCCCCACCTCCTCCCCGCTGGGGCTCCCCTTCTGTGAATGCACTCGATATAGAATTGTGTGCGCATATTTGACGTTAAGGTACCCGTCCTTTTAACTGCTTAAACTGAGATGTCCGAGTGAACGCCTGCGTAAAAAAAAATCATAAACCGTGCGGATTTGTTTTTATATATGCAAAGACGAGAATGTTTTGAAAACAGGATTCGCGAATCATTTAAAGTTGGGAAAGAAACGCATGTTTTATTATAAAAAAAGCAAGCATGATATCCAGATACAACGGTTTCACAAGCAACGTTTAAGGTTCTACTGTGGTATTAGTGGTCTACATGACGTTGTAATTACTCGCTAGATTAGTTACGTACACTGAATTCAAGTAAATATATTTTTGGGAATATTTATCTTTTTGGGGCTTTCATCAATACTGTGAAGGCCGGCAGCGTTAGTTTCAACGCAATATTCTGCGCGGCGTCAAACGCCCGCGTTCAATGGGCCGATACAACAGCAGCAACAGCAACAACAACAACTTGCCCTTCTTCTGCGGCTCGCTGCTGCCGCCGCCGCCAAACAAAATCCCCGGCTAAAAAAAAACGAGGCGAACGTGAAAAAAACATCGGCAAAAAAGAACCGCACGGAGTAGTGGCGAGGCGAGCGCGCGCGTGCTCGCACGAGGCTATACGGACGCCTCCCAAAGACGCGCGATGCCCGCGCGCGCGCGCGCGCATCGCGCGCTCTCTCGGGGGCCATCGCGCGCGCGACAGAAACTTGGCAGCCGGGCGGATCACAGCTTGGTAACCGTCGGTGCAGATGCTCGTTATTAAAGTGGTGCGGCCTCCCTTAAATAAATGGTGCTCTCCGGCCGCACTGTACGCGTGTCCTGCGGTCAAGGGGAGGGCCGTTCCTGTTGCGCGTTTAGCTTTAGGATCGGCGAGTGCGCATGTTAATAAACCACGAAAGAGGCGCACCTTTGCAACCACTGTTCGATTACCGCATCTGCACTTTCGCAACGTTTTGTTGTTGTTGTTATTGCTGCTGCTGTTGTTGTTGTCCCGACCTTGAAAAAATGTACATCTACAAGCTTTTCACTATTAGCGAACCCATATAGGCACACAGTTGATTGAAATGTGTGAATTTCTTCCGTGCAATTTATGTACAGATGAACAGTCTAGCTCGGGGGCACGTTGCAGTCAAGGGAGGTGCAACACTAAACTCATGCAGAGACAGAAATTCCCTGGCAATGTCTACTCATAATTTAATATTTCTTGGAGGTAGGCGTGAAGGCAAATAGGCAGTAAAAAAAGAACATTGGCAATATACCACAGAGTCACACCTACTCGGGTATGTTTGGCTCTTAATGCTCACAATTGCATACGGATGCTATAACACAGGTGTAGACGTAACAAAAAATACAACACAACGTCTGAGCCTACACATACCTTGTCATTTGTTTCCAAACCATTTTGATAATTTATTGTCTTGCACGTCCCTTTGCAACCCGAAAGCTTTTCACGTAACACATCGCGTGACGAGGCAAAGTGGTGGCCCTGTGGCTAGTTAGCACACCGCGCGATGAACCCGATGACCTGAGTTACATTCTCGGCAGCGTTTGACATCAGCGGCGATCGATATCTGAACCGGTACACGTGAGGAGGCCTTCATCCAGCACTGGACTAACAAATTATTATATAAGTGTCGTAACATTTTTGGGAAAAGCAGTTGCAAATTCAAGAATACGTGGACTGTGGATAATGCTGCCTGCAGCAACGAAGAGCCGACCGGACCCCACACGAGGCGGGAATTATTAAACATCTCAGCGAGTACAATCATGGCCAACGTGAGCCAAACTTGTGTTTAATTTAGCCGGCTCAATGTCACCAGGCATCAGCGGCGAGGGTAAAACGTACTCAACATGAGATATGTCGGCGTACTTCCCCGCTTGGCTTCAACAAGGGCCACTGATAAGCGGTGTTCTGTCTCCATGTGTAGGCAGAAAACCAGTGCAATAGAAAGAGTGGAGGCGTTTATGAGTCTACTTGGGATTGTCTTCCCAATGTTTTTGGAATGCATCCGAAAAATCAGAAAATCAGGCCTAGATATGAAATTTCGGATGATGTAAAAAAAATACTTTTGGATTCATGCGAAAATGTACCATCACAGGAAGTGATATATGACATGTTCTACCGATGATGCTTGATATAAAAGACATGAAATAAATTATTAATATTTAAAATCCTTAAATTTATTAAAATGCAATACATTTAAATTATAATCTTAAAATACCAAATCAGGTCTGAAACTGAGCCTAAAAGTCTGAAAAGGCAATATTCCTAGAGCCTAGGCTGAAAGATATCGTTGGCTGAGCTGTAAAGTCAAGTAGATGTAATGAGTAATGATTTATATTTGGATTCAGAAGCTGTAAAGCATACACCATAATGACACCAATACTTATATTATTAAGAAAATGCTGCTAAATACAGCCAAAACATAAATGACTGTTCTGCACGGTCTATATAATTGTCTGGTTTCTTTATCACAGGCAGTATTTATTTGAACGATTGACAACAGGACAAATAGATCTTCTCGTGTTCATGAGAAGTCCGTTGATTTACACAGACAAACGGACAAGACACACAGGAAAGGGGGAAGTTAACAAATATCCGGGCCCAACATCTACCTCATTCTCTAGATCATAAGATGCTCCCGAAACGAAGATATCCCTCAAACTTGTGCCCGGGAGTCGATCAAGTTAAGCTAATATGATCACACAAACACCTGCCAGATTATAAAGACACACACCCCCAACTTCTGCTAAAAACTACAGGGGGTCGGGGGGAGGGATGCGTCGTATAATCCAGAGAACAAGGTAGGGGTGGGAATTCACTTCAACAAGCTAGAACTTATTTGTGTTTAGTTTGTTGTCCTTCTCCCCGCACCTCCGATTAGCATGGTTGGCTTGCTAGGTACAGGTTGACAAAAGTTAAACATACGGTACATAAGGAGACGGGATTGAACCCTGCCAAAAGTAGAGTGTAGTCTGCTCTGCAGCCTATCGCCATGGATCTTGTCGTCGCTTTATGAGAAGTTCTAGATCGCTTGCGCTTGAATGCAATCCGTTAGGGTTGCCACCTCCAATATACAAAAAAAACCATGGGGCATATGGCAAGAGGAATAGCTCACAATACTGGCAGAAGGTAGAACTACATCCACACGCGCATTGTCACGAATGGTGTATTATTAAGCATCTGACCTCCAAAAAAAACCATCAGGAACTTTTTAATTTCCTGGGAAGACGTACAGATTCCGGAAAACAACCTCAAACGGAGGCCGATCCTGGGAAGACCGGGACCCGGTGGCAGCAGTGGCGTTCACATTCGTTGGCGTGGGGTGTTACGTTTCGCGGTAGGGGTCGGCAAACGTGCCGCTACGGAGGCACGTGCGGCTCTTTGCGGACAGCTTCGCGACGTAATGTACGTGTGTGTGTGTGTGTTTAGGCATCCGCTTGCATCGCGGCCCTTGAAATGTTGAGTTTTGCGCCGAATTCGAACAAAAACGGCTCTTCTTGTTCATTTTGGTTGCTGACCCCCTTGGTTAGGCGTGACCCGCTGCCTCCCAATCAAGATGGCCGCCTGCTTAAAAAAAAGAAAATGGCCGACGTGGGTGCAATGTCACGCGGGAAGATAATCTTCGACTTTGTTTCTGCTCGCGGTCCAGCCGCCCTCCGTCAAGTGCGCCTCATGGTCATGCAGCGACCCTGTGCATAGGAAACAACGTACAGTCATCGCTTTTTTTTTCAAGTTATCACATTTCTGAAGTCGCAATGTAATAATAACTTCGTGATGTTTATGTCTGTGTGTGTTAGGATGACAAATGTGTATTGTGTGTGTGTGTGAAATAACGCTTTAAAAAATATATTTTACAAAGGGGTAAAGCTGCAGCCCTGAAATGTCTTGCTCACACCACTGCTGACTAAAGGGCCTCCACTCAGAGCTCCTGACTACCCCCTCTAGAGGGTATTTGGCCTAGTTTTCCACGCTGGCTAGACGTATTTTGGAAGAGGTGAGAGTTACCTATACTTTGCGCCACCACACGTGACCTGCCGATCGACTCATTTACGCTCCTTGGTGGAGAGAGGTTGGGGGAGATTTAAGAAACTTGCCCCATTGTTTCCACTGCCGCGCAGGCTGAACGATCCACTGACCTCTGGATTGCAAGTCAAGTGTGCTGACCCTTAAGGACAGCATCCGAGTGGCACGATTGGTTATCACACGGTACTTATTTGCCCATAACACAGGCTTTTTTGGGCTAGATCGCGTAAATATAAATGTTATATTCTTAGTTCTTTCGGTAAAGTCACGTTGAAGGGAAACAAGAAAATAATAAAATATATTTAAAACAATAAAAATTCTCACGACGTTTCGACCATAACACAAACGGTCGTCATCACCTGATGACGACCGTTTGTATATATTTTATTATTTTCTTGTTTCCCTTCAACGTGACTTTACCGAAAGAACTAAGAATATGAATTATTGCAGTCACGAAAGCTTTAAATCAAAATATACATGTGTCGTTAAACCCGCCACCACCCTACACAGCCAATAAGTAATGTTTGTCACGTAAACAAGATGCCAATTCGTTACTAGTACAGCACACCGGTGTGTTGGAGAGCAAATCCACAGCATTTACAATCTGAGTACGACGTTTCGCCACTAATTACAACCGGCATCATCAGGCGGCAGCCAGATTTTTGTGGTGGAAGGTTTAACGGCACATTCATATTTACGCGACCTAGCCCCCAAAAATACCTGGACTATGGATGATATTGGTCGCGAAAGCCTACGTGTTAAACGGTACTTATGTGGTCGCAATGTATACTTAACGACGTTTATATTTCTGTGTTAGTATAATTACAATGTTTCTTTGAGCGTGTGTGCTTTTACGAAGCGATAGAAATCGTTTGTGAAATGTGTATTATTTTTTTATAGCATGTATTGTACGTAATTTGTTGCGTAAGGTGTAAAAAATCAGTGTAAATGTTTTCACGATAAGTTTCGCTTTTATAACCAAACATAATCAGAATGTAATCGGTGCGACTATGAAAGTATGTATGTGTATGTTAAACTTCTCTGGCACCATACGTAGCCAACCGTGCGAAATCGGAGGTGCGAGGGAAGGAGAACCAAACGAAACACAAGCAGTGACGGCACTGGGCAAAAGCAAACCAAGAAGAGGCTTTGGCCTGCCAGCAAATAAAAGGGGACCAATTGAAATATCGGCTTATCCGATACGAGCTAAAATTCAAAGCATAACAAGCAAAACAACAAAATTAACATAGCACGCCAAATTAATGTCTCTCATCGCTATCTTGTTTGCATCAGTGTTATTTAATTTCGCTGCATCTCAACTTTTCCATCGACATTTACATTACTTCTACATCACAACGGTTTTTGTGATATTGTTCGGGAAAGGTGGGGGAGAGGGGTGGGGAGGGGGGTGGGGAGGGGGGTGGGGAGGGGGGTGGGGACACACAAAATTATCAGAATCTGTATTTAGCCTGCAGGAGCAATCCGATGAGCTATGAAGCTTTTCTTTCACAGAAATCAAATACGGGCGGGTCAGCAAGTTACAACAGCAAAAGAATACAAAAATCGATAGCGGTACAAACTCGAGAAAATGGTAAGCAAGTCACTACATTTTGTTTGCTTAAGACCCCCCCCCCCCCCACTCCCGCCCAGCCACCCATCAGCCAGCACCACAAATTGCGGGGAAGCAAAGTCACGGCAAACGGATGCAAAGTCTCCACACGCTTCGCAGCACGGATGCAGGCTCCGCAGGGCGGGTGGCCGCGGTGTTTTATAAACCTGGTCCCCCAGGAGGGCCAGATGGCGTCAAGAGAGTCCAAGTGATTTCCCGGCTCAAATACGCATTGACGAGACGCTCGTCTCCCACTTAAAGCCCCGAGCCAGTGGCGGGAAATCCACATTCCTATGGCGGGGGTGAGTCTATCCATAGGACAACCCACCGTTGACTTCCCCACACGTGCATACACACAACATAATTTATTTCATCGACCCCGGAGGGGTGGTGTGTCGAGCAGTGCCGGATTAAGCTAGTGCAGGGCCTGTGGAATATGTTGTTATAAAGGGGCCCTAAATAAAAAAAAACACACACAAATTTTAAACTTGCACAGCAAAGTACATTTGCTATACTGCCAGGTAATATGACAAATCGCTAACCTTAAACAACCAGCGCGTTCATAAAAGTTGAAGGCGGTATAGTACTATAGTAATAGAGCAAGTGCAGAATCACTGAACCGGAATTGATAGCTTGAAAGCATTTAGCGCGGGGCCTTTGAAAGCGCGGGGCCCGTAGCATTTGTAGCTGCTTTTGCTACTACTACGATAATCTGGCACTGGTGTCGAGTCAACCCCTGACCAGGATATTAACTCATAACATTCCGATTGTGAGTCCGCTAGCTCTGCCGCTCAGCCAGCTGGCGGGTTCACATGGTGTACATTATTGTGAATACACAGATGTGTTGGTTTTAATTACAGAGACGGAGAGTTGATGACAAATATATTTTTTGTCCGGCCCAGAATTTATGATTAATTGTCCTCTGTTTATTGTTTGGGCAAGGATAAAAAAATACGAGGATGTTAACTTAAGCAAAAAGTTAAATTAACCGTTAACATCTGTCTAACGTGTTCACCAGACAACTTTTAACACTGATATAATTACACAACATTCACTTAGAGGAAGTGTTTGTTATGATTCTAGAGATAAGATATTTTCAGCTTTCACATCAACATGGTCTTAGCCTAAATTGGTCTATTGTTTGGCACTCACATAATACTGTATGCAAGATTACATTTATACATCTGTCGTATGCATCCATATTTCTATTTTGCTCTGCATGGATAGCTTTTAAAATAATGTCGTAGTTCAAGCGATCCCCTAGCTAAAAGTAATATGTTTAAAAGCGTATTTATTGGTTATAGATACGACTTTGGGAAGATTAGGTAGATGGATTTATATAGGGAGCTACAGCAATATATATTCATCCATGCCATGAGCTTTGGGAACAGCAGTGTTAGAGGTCTAAGGTAAAGGTGCAGTCCTGAAATTCCACGTTCATACTGCGGCTGGCGGAAACACCTCCACAACAGAGAGCCCAAGCGAGTCTGTTCACGGTGGCCAGACGCCTGCTGCTGTATATTTGGAGTTTGCTTGTGTTTCTCTCCCTCCCGTGGTCGCGTGGATTTTTCTCTGGGTCCTCCGGTCCCCCCCCCCCCCCCCCCACATTTAGCATCAACATCACGCACCTAAGAGTATTTGGTTGCTACAAATTTATATTTGACGAGCCACTTCGTTGAGCTATCATTTGTGGCCAGGTCACTTCTGAAAAAAGAGCCACATAGCTCAGTCGGCCTCACCCTGATGAAATAAAAATATAATTTCACAGTTTAGTTTTAGTCTCGGAAGAGGTGGGAATACTTACGCTTGACCCCACCACACGCAACCTGCCGATCGACTAACTGTGATGAACTCATTTATACTGCTGGGTGGACAGAGGCTGGGGCTTTAAGAAACCTGCCCCATTGTTTCAACCACTGCACGGGGAGAACTAACTAATGACCACTGTGGTGCAAGTCCAGTGTGCTAACCGTCGCACAACGGCAGTGTCCCTTTACTGGAAATACTTGAAATAATATTGTTCCCATAATGTGCTGTTCATGCGGTCAACATTCTGTTGTGGTTACTTGACATGGTTACATAAAATAGGCACGTCCACTTGGCTCCAGTGTTAAAACCTCTTGGCTTGCATTCGCTAGTTTTCCATCTCCATTTGTGAGAAAAGTATGAAAGTGAAAGCTTGAAAAATAATCTGAATAAAAGAAAACGGTAACAGCTGCGGAGGGCCATCGTGACTTGGTCAGTATAAATGCTCGCATGCGGTAATAAATAACCATTTTGAGAAATTAAATAAATAATAATGACGCATAAAGCTCAGCCAGGCCAAGGCTGACAGTATCTGTGACGCCGTCCATATTGAAACCACTTGCTGTGACCCTGGCGCCAGTTCACCGAGCGTCGAGGCAGGGCCAAGCATCTTGCCTTGATTTTCTTTAAACATCTCATTTTTAAACATCTGATAATGGCCGTGCTTGCAATACAATATCACAGCTCGCATTCCACTTCTCTCTTCACCAGACCGCACAGCCTTGTTCTATTTTGTGTCCGTTTATGCCCAAAAGCTGCTTTTCGGGAGACAAGAGTTGTTTTACCCGTGTGCTCTTTAGAATGTGCACGTAATCCGACCCTTTCGGTTTAGAACGCGCGAGCGGCTCGATGTGAACGTGCACAAATCTCTGCCCTTTGCGTTTGGTGCCTGAACAGTGGCGCGGCTATCGAGTGGTGTGCAGGCGGTGCAATTGCACCGCGTCCCATGGACTGGAGGGGCCCACACCCCGGGCTAGGAAGAGGAGGGGGGGGGGGAGGCATTGAACAGGGGGGCCCCATTTCTTTCCTTGCACCAGGCCCCAAGCCAACAACGCAACGCCACTCTGTGCCTGATGTGAGCAATCCCGCCCAGGTCATGCGACCCACAGCCCACTTACTCTTAGAGAGACACCAAACTGCTCATGCAGGTGTTATCCTAATAGAGACCTTGATAGAGAAAAAGTCACCGTGGCGTAGCTCTCTTCGCATGGTAAAAGCACCGTTCGCTAAAGACGAGCGCGGCGGATCAGAAAAGCGTTTCTGTAAGGCCGCAGCTATCGCTGGTTGCATGCACCGGCAGGTAGCCACCGCTACGAGTTTCAAACAACACGCACACTCGTGCAAAGATCACTTAAGCCTTTGTGCGGTAAGCAAAAAGGTCAATGTCCTCAAGAAGTACACTGTGGTCCTCTTGTCTTAGGTCACCATCAAAATAACATTTGAGCAAGTATGACAGACTGACAGGCGATGGATAACTGTAGCCCAGCATCATCCTCGTTGGGCCTCCTCAGCACGGTATGGGCCACCAATGCTCACTGCCGTCACCCGCTGCGTCGACTGCGTACCTTATCGCCGGGCTGCGGCCTCATCACCGACACGCGGTCGTAGCCACTTCGCATGAGGGCCCAGAGAGCGTCCAGCATTCCCTGTTTGGGACGGGAGTTGAAGCGGTCACATGTGAGGCGCGCTCCGCAACAGCAAACGCGCTTGCCGTGTGACGCTCCACGGTAACAGGTCGGCCGCTCACAGCCGCGAGCGAACTTTGAAGGTGACATGGCGGAGCCTTCTTTGCAGCTTTGTCCTGGGGTGCTTTAGGAATGAACGTTATTGTGCAGCGCGCGCACGTGAGGCTGTGTGCAAAAGAGATCATCCACCACGTGCGCAGGTTCAGTGTGCGATGTATAATTTGGCACGTTAATTGAGAAACTTGGGAAAACATGCATGCGGTCGTGGGGGCATTGAGGAATGGAATTTGACAAGTCATAAGTGTAATGGGCGGTGCATATTAAGCTAGTTAATTAAACCAGGGGATGGTTTCCTTTAGTTGCTTTGACATTTTAAGAGTTCAAAACGTACGACCAAAGAACGCCTTTAATACAATTTAAGGATATTCATATTTTCTCTGCTGCAGTCATTCATACACCGCGCGATGTGCCAGGCAAAGGAGTTAATGTTGCCTGCCATGGCGAGTGATATCTGAACTGGTTCTGCCCTTCCCTTCACCAATCTGCACTGACAAGCGTGAAGCATGGTCAAACAATCCTCATGTGCTTAATAAATTGACTTTCCAATGGATACAAAAAATGGATGTAAATTAAAACCAGAACTTGTACAGCACTGCTCAAGATTATCATTAAGGTCACATGTGTAGCAGACGACAAGACAGCTAGAGTTTTATGAACAGCCCAAATGTACTTTGTCGCACACATGGACAGATATAGAGTCCTGCTTTACGCTGGCTCTTATTAAAAGTATCTAACTCATGCTGTTTAACCTCAGCCGCATAAAACTACTGCTGTACATTGTTTGAGTTTTGGCCATTGCACAACTTCGAAACTGAATGTCACTATTTTGTTACATCACGGCTGTGTCACAGCAATCGTTTGGCGAACAGAGACAATTTGTGTTCTCACGAACATTGATGTATTTCTTACATTTAATAACGTATTTGCCCGTTTGCATTAAGCTGCTCTAAACTAGATACGAAATAACCGAACTCAAATGTTTTACCGATGATGCAATTTGTTTGGCACTGTTTTCGCCGCTATTACCATAAACAAAAGGGCCAAAAGCAACTTATGACAAACCGCATCGCTGAGTGAGAACCGAGAGGTATTGCAGAATCTGGGTATATGCATACAGCCTGGGAGCCAGGAATGTGTGCTTTTATCCAAAGTAGTGTGCTCATATCACATGTTGACCTTTTACTTCTCCCCAACAGTGTAAGTTGAGCCCTGTCTTGCTCATCTCGGAGACCGCGTTTACATAAGATGTGCTTATATCCAGCTTCTAAGCGCATTACGGAATGACTGCTCGAGAGCAGCCGCGGATCGATCACGTTTTTAGATTTGTTTAAACCGACGCAGTTCAGCGCGGCTCTTTGTGAACGAACGGGGCGTACACTCGCGGCGCCATCAGCGAGTGCAAGCGGTGTGGAGGGGCGACCGCTCGTGCTCGCCCCAAGTCCTGCCGTCTCGGTGTAGTCCACCGGGCATCTGTGAACTTCAGAGCCTATCGGATTCCACCAGGATAAATACACATTCCGATTCTGCGGTCAGAATATTCTTGTCCTAGTCGTCGTAGTCTCGGTCTGGTCGGCGACAGCCTGTGCGCAATTGTCGTCAAATCCTGGTTTTGTGGATTTAACGTAGTCTTGCTCTCGTTTTAGTCGACTAAAACTGTAAAACTTTTAGTTAGTCCACTCTTAGTTATTAAGCGTTCCCTGCACCAATAGTATTAGGTTAGCCGATCGGTAAACTTAGTACAGTAAAACCTTGGATTGCGAGTAACTTGGTCTGCGAGTGTTTTGTAAGACGAGTAAAAATTTAAAATAAATATTAATTTGATAAACTAGCGAGGTCTTGCAATACGAGTAGTACGTATATGCTTTGTCTGCCGAGCGTCACGTGATCACAACTGATATACGAGTGCTTTGATATACGAGTGCTTTGGATTACAAACACGTTTCCGGAACGAATTATGCTCGCAATCCAAGGTTTTGCCGTATTGCTCATTAGTCCTGTGTCTTCATTCAGAATAGTGTTGTTATGGTCGCACTTTCATATCTGGTGGGCAGTCATAGTCGTGATCGCAATGTCCCCATTACTATCATCCATCCATATCCATCGTTGACTAAAACAATTTGAAAGCTTTGTCGACAAATATTCGTGTCGCCAATTCATTGAACGAAACTAACACTGGTCCGATTCACAAAGAGCAAAAAAAAAACCCCCACACCATGCTTGCATTGCCAGTAGTGCACGAGCACTTATGGCAAAAATTGAATGCATTCTTCAATAACGCTGTCCTAAGTTGCTGTGTTATCGGGCCCTTCTTCATATCAGACAGGAGCAGCTCACCTTGATCGGAGCGAACCACTGCGGCGCAGGCGAGCGGGGGGTTTCGGCCGTGCCATTCCTCTGGGGTCGGGGGGTTTGTTGGAATTGGACCTCCTCCTCCGTGGGCATGGTGACGACCGCGTTGGGGGTTGCCTTGAGCCTGGCCCCTTCCTCTGTGCAGCCTTTGCCGCCCCAGCGTACCTATTCACGCGCGCGCACAGCCACCACCGGCCCCCCACACGTCCGTAAATACATCGGAGGTAACTGGCAGGATGTAGAGGATGATAGCTCCACGCTCTAACGAACGCGACGAGAGATTGACAACATTAACTCGGGAGAAGGTACCCCGGGGAAGGGAAAAAAAGAGGCTTGAGGAAGACAGAGCGGAAGAGATGGCGGGATAGACTGATAGAACTTCGGAGGCCACTGATGAATAACAACAACTAAGCAAAGGATGGAAGGAAATGGGGGTGGCCTTTATATGTATTTTACACTTTTTTCACATCGTACGTAGCCTACCATGCTAATCGGAGGTGCGGGGGAAGGAATCGGAAGTGCAGTGACAAGTTACAGCCTGATAACAACAACAAACGACAACGCAACGGTTCCTTGAGCCTCGGCCAAAACCGCCTTCGATTTTACCCGGTCGCTCCACATCTCAGAAGTCAAGGAGGGTTGAGTTCCAGTTCGTACTTGGATGGGAGATGGCCTTGATATACCAGCTGGCTTGGACAAATAGGTTTATTTTTTCTTTCACAAAGGTGCTCATTGAAGGAATTGTAGGACAAGTACTCATTGAAGGAATTGTAGGACGTTCCTGAGAAAGTCTTAAGACTCGGTAAGGCGTTCCTGCCTAAAGGGCATTATTATTATGATTATTATTCGTTCCTAAAATCAGTTGCTATAGTCCAGCTCTGCTCATATCCCAAACGTCTCAATTCACACGTCAGTTTTGGTCAATTACATTACGTACGTTTGTTCATTGATGAATTTGAAAAGGTGGTTCAGTGTTGGGGTCGGTGTGGTGTCTGGGTGGACAAGAATACTGCATTAGGAACAGCTGTCCATACAGCTGTATTTGTATTCGTTGGTATGTGTGTGTGGAGCTGCGAAGAGATATTTGCAGCAAGCTTTGGAGACATGTTCTTTGTCGTGCTGAGATAATGATTCATTTTTTTCCGGCTCTACTATATATTTTGCCAAATTTGAAAATCAACTTTAGCATATTGCATGGGGTTCCAGACCGCCAACACAATCTGCTTCCTTTCCGTGCAAACCGAGGCCTTTTTTTGCGATTTCTCAAAAAATGACAACTGGCCAATTTGAATTATTTTCTAAATTATCAGGAAGTAACCTTCTTGTGCACGCTACTGCTTGTTCAATCCGAGTGTCCGTCTGCAGCGGACGTGATGTTTTTTTTTCTTTCGCGACAAACGGTGAAGTGTGTTTTTTTGCGTCATTCCACAGGCTCGGCTTCAGAAAACACCTCTGTCATGAAGCCACAAACACACTGCAGTGGGGAAGAGCGAAGCCATCTGTCAGCGAGAATCCCGAAGCTGCGGTACGCGGGGGAAGGCTCGGAGCGCTCGTGACATGGCACGACGATACGGTCCACCCTTACAAACAAAATACTCCATAATACAGGGTTTTTTTTGGAGTTAGATCGCGTATATACATGTGTCGTTAAACCCACCACCACCCAACGCAGCCAATTAGTAAGATTTGCCACGTAAATAGAACATGCCAATTCGTTACTAGTACAGCTCACCGGTGCGTTGGAGAGCCAAGCCACACCGGTGTGCTGTACTAGTAACGAATTGGCATGTTCTGTTTGCGTTACAAATCTTACTAATTGGCTGTCGGGTGGTGGCGGTTTTAACAACACTTTCATATATTTACGCGATCTAACCCAAAAAAACACAGTATTATGGATATTGGTCGCGAAAGCCTACGTGTTAAACAAACAAAATACAATTTTGATGTGTAGGGCATCCAAGATGACAATATTTATTACACGGAAGCTAAGCGTGTTTGAGCCTGCATTGCCACTCACCACACACATGAAGACGGATTTCAGAGGCTGCTGTGGGGCTACACCGTGGATGGGCAGCAGATAGCTGTGCAGCAAAGTATATTGTTGTACTGTTCTTCTACGCCCCCCCCCCCCCCCACGTCTGTGCTCCGTGATGCCCCCTCCCCTCTGCGTGCTGGGTGGTGCATGACCAAACAGCAAGGCAGTCAGGCAGCCAGCAAAACTTTTTTCTCATCTACTATGATTAGATTAAGCCTCATTGACCCAAATCAACCTTGAAAATTTTACTTTAAATCTCAATGGGGTATCATCTGGAATTTATTTGTTATCATCAAGCGATCAAACATCTTCTTAGACTATTCCTTTGTAAGAGGGAGTACCACCGAAAAACTTGTCATCATTTAAAAAAAACACCACGGCAACAATAGAATCCCTGTGTAAAATGGAAAAATGAACATCATCGGGCTTATGTGCCACACGTTTACATCTTCGTGCCTTATGTTCATGTAAACACACGTGGCTGACCGCAGTGTTCAAATAGAAGCCACAGAGTTGGTAAAACAAAGCTTGCAATTGGTCCAATTTTCCAGAAGACATTTTGGATATTATAAACAAAGATTGCAGTGATGTCTGCGTTGCATATGCAGCCCACCCCTCCCTACAAAGTAAGCCTCATTTACTGCACAATTCCTCAGCAGTCTAATTCAAGCACAGCGCGTGCTTACACGCACATGAATAATTGATGGGTAAACGGAGCGCATTCTAATGCACACTTGGACAGGCGTGTGGGCAAGGCGCTGAACTACTTAGCAGTGCAAACACAGCCACAGGAGTCTGGAATCAAACAAACGAGTGCGAGAGTCGTGTCACAGTTATTCATTCATTTTGGAAACCCGAGTTGAGCGCGGGCCGCGTGGTGCTGTGATGAGAACTTCGCGTGAGAGAGGCAGCTCCACCACATACTACACTATACACTACACTACTATACAGTACACTACTATACACTACACTATACACTACACTACTATACACTACACTATACACTACTATTCACTACACTACTATACAGTACACTACTATACACTACACTATACACTACACTATACACCACTACTATACACTTCACTACTATGCAGTACACTACTATACACTACACTATACACCACTACTATACACTCACTATACACTACACTATACACTACACTACTATACACTACACTATACACTACACTATACACTACACTACTATACAGTACACTACTATACACTACACTACTATACACTACTATACACTACACTATACACTACACTACACACTACTATACACTACACTACTATACACTACACTACTATACACTACACCACTATACACTACACTACTATACACTACACTATACACTACACTACTATACACTACACTACTTAACACTACACTACTATACACTACACTATACACTACACAACAAACACTACTACACTATACACTCCAATACATTACACTATACACCCCATTACACTACTGTACACTACATTATACACGGCACAACCATACAATACACTGCACTATACTAAATTTAAAACACATTTCCTAAGAACTGCTTGTTTGTGTTTAGTTTGTTGTCCTTCCCCCGCACCTCCGTTTAGTGCGGTTGGCTACGTGCGGTGCGAAAGAAGTTCAACATCCAACACCCAATCATTAGAATGGGACAGTCTTTGACTTACGAACACAATTCGTTCCTGTGGCCCGTTCGTAATCTGTTGTATATTTAAATGCCCACACACACAAACACTCAGGCCCAGCACGAAGCTGACGCATTTACATCTCGTGGAGGGATCGCTCCTCTGAACAAAAATAGTTTAACGGTTCAATTTGCAAGTGAGAGTTCGCGTTTTAAGCCAATATGAATAAAAAAACAGACATTTAATCGAATCTGATTCGTAAGTGCTGGTGTTTGTAAGTCGAGGCCTGCCCGTACCTCCATTGGCTTGATGCCACCGATCCCGCCGGCACCATAGTAGGACGCGTCCACCGTTGGCCACTTCTTTTTTGGTGCGATCTCCTCCGGCTCCTCCTGCCGGGTGTCGCACGCGGGGTGGGGAGGGGAAGGAGCGAGCGAGAGAATACGGAGAGCACGTTCGTGGAAGAAGGGTTGTCTGTGCAGGAGTGGCAACTCACGCGCTCCATTCAATCGCGCGCTGCGCGACGTGACATGCTGGCCTCGGCGACCTGGGTTCGATACCCGGCCGCGAGCTAACCTCGGTGCTGAGCGATGTAACAGTCGGTCCCGGGACCCGGCTAGGTTGATTCCGCCTTAAATTAGTACCTGGTGTGGTGTGTAAACGTTGGCACTGCGGAGAAAAAAAGGTGGCCCGGGTGGGGTACTCGCCACTCCGCGATCTTGTGCGATGTGACAAACTCAATGGGTGCTCGACACCAGCATTTGCCCCAGCAGTCTGTTACGGGCTACCTTTCTCACTGATCGCAGAAAGAACAAATAATTCACGTTGTTTGCAGATTCTAGCACACACACACAAGTAGGGTTTTCCTTGTTTACATTTTGCAATTCATGTTTTATTCATTACAGTTAGAAAGCTGCTGACCTCTTTGTATATTTGAGTTTAATGTTCTCCCATCATATGAGTGTTTTCTCCAGGAACTCCACTTTTCTCCCATATGCAATACTTAAAGAAAGGAATGTGCGAACCAAAGTTCTCATGAAAAAAGAGTCTTGAGACTCATAAATAATGTATTGCAATAGCGTCTGAAGGCAACCTACAGAGTAATGCAAATACATTCAACACAATCTTATTTCGTATTGCATCATCTCAAGGCATCATTTCAAGCCAATGCACTGAAACTGTGGGCATAATTATTTGATAACGACAGGGGTGGTCAGCCATAGGCAGAGGAGAAAACAAAGGCCGTAAGTCTGGGCTTCAACAGGGGCGGTGAGTGGGGGAATCGAAGTTCAAGACTAAGGAGGCAACAGAGCAGAATGAGCGATTGTAATACATTATATTTTATCCACATATATACACATTTTAGATGTTTACACTTTAAAAACACGTTCTTGTTGGGAAATCAAAACTTATTTTAACGTTGCGCAAACTCCAAATTGGGGAAACATTCTGAAGCTATTTATTTCTCCTGTGAGATTTAGGTCCAGTTGACCATCTTGTTAGGTGACCGTCTGCCACTTGTTAGTCCATGTAAGATGTGGCACGTTCCTGAGACCCCATTATGTTACTCAGACAACCTTGGAAGCCAGCAGTGAAATGAAAACAACACGTGATTTGTACTGTGCCAGCAGATTTAACAGGTTGAGCCAATAATTCCTAGCACAGCACTTAAAGATTAATTTACAGGTGTTGGGAGATAATAATCTGTTAAAACCAAGTTGCAATTGTGTTTGCCAAACCGTTAATTATAATCTTTCTCAAAAGCTGACGTTAACGATGCGTGTGACACTCTATAACACATTTTCCTTTGTTCTGGGCAAATTAAGATGTAAAGAGAAGTGAGCTGGCATGTGCCAATTATCAAGACAGCAAAACAAATACAACTCAAAATAAAATTTATATAATATAATTTTGAGTGTATTTGATTTGTTACACGGATTAACCCGTTTAGCCAGTTTCCCCGGCTGCTGTTTGACGCGGGAGATCCGTGCAGCCGTGGAGCGTGAGCACAGCAGCAGCAGCAGCAACAACAAGAGCCAAAAAAATAATCAATTTTCTCCTTCCCCATTCAAATACAAATTACATCGCTCCACGCTGCACGTGCCCGATGATTGTTAAACGCAGCGTACGCGACGCGCTGGGCAAGTGCAGCTGCGTGGAACACGTGGAACGTCCAAACGCACGCACACCGAGATCTCAATCACGATTTGAATCGGCTCTCTCTTCACGCATGCAGCTTTGATTGCTTAGCTGCATCACGCGGGACATGTTTAACAATCATCGGGCACGTGCAGCGCGCGCGGAACGTCTTAATTTGAATGGGCAGCAAATTGGTAAACGCGGAAAGCCGTCGCGTAGTGAGGGTCGCCAGGACGGGAGTTTGGGAGTGGAATGTCGCCATGAAAATATATATTTTTTGCGCTCACGACACGCGCATCTAATCACCCGTGAAAGAATCAATATTGTTCAAAACCATTTGTGTGACAGGCGACAGGTTGACGTGACCACTTGCAGCCCACCCACCACAGGTGCAACCGTTCACTGATATGTCAAACAAAAGAAATGTAAACAGATGATTGAATCTCATCGTCACCCTGAATTGTCACAATTCATTGCATTGCCAGGTGGGTGGATGGTGAAGGGAATAGTTATGACCCCCCCCCTCCCTCCAATTAGTTGGATAATTTTAATTGTGAGTGTGTACGCGCCCCTTTTAAACCATGAAACCGACCCCAATTCCAAAAGGCTGCTTTGTCCGCCAACTGAGATGCGTGCGTAGAAGTGGGTGCGGTCGATCAATTGAGAATAATATAAGAATACTGACCCACGTGTGTGAAATCGTGTGTTGAATGTCAATTTGAGGGGCCGGGTGAGGAACTTTACCTCTTTCACTGGCGGAGGTGGTGGCGGCAGAGGTGGAATCGGCTTCACAACCTGTAGCAACAAGAACGGACATTGTACTGCTTCCCAGAATTCCTCGCTATATTGTCATTATACAAGTTAAAAGTCGGGTTAAAAGGAATATAAAATAATTCCTGAATGTAACTCTTTTGTTGAGTGGTGCGTAATGTTGCATGTATTTCATGCGGAAACTTATTTCGCACCATATGTAAGCCTATCGTGCTAATAGGAGGTGCATCGTTGAAAACTCAACACGTGCGTCAATAATTCTGACAAGAGGAACCACCTCCCCCCCCCCCCCCCCCCCCCCATGATAGGTAACGTTTCGGCAACGGTCCTACTTCACAGCAAAGAGATCCTGTGGAGATTCAATGGGAAGACATTAAAGTGGCATTGGTTGAATTCAAGAAAATATAAAGCAATGTCTCAAAGGCCTTGTTGAGGCTTTTGTGTGGTTTGTCCACGTATTCATATATATTTTTTGCGTAAATAAAATTGCATATTTATAAATAAAGAAATGTGGATTGTAGTTATAAAACACAAGTTTGCTTAGTAGTTTATTTGCTGATGATTATTTTTTTAAAATAACTGAGGAGCTCCACGTTTTGTTTTTGTTACCAATGAAATATGTGGCAGTGGTTACGTAAAACAGTGTGTATCATCATCCATGATCTATTTACTGCTGGATGAAGGCCTTGCTAAGCTGTCGCCATCGCTCTGGATCTTTTGATGTAAGAATCCATCTTCCACCAGCACACTAGCCGTATATAATGATAATAATAATTCTCATCATAAGTGATGACTTTTTTTTAGTTATCGTAATGTGTTTTTATTGTGGACTTGTAAGAATGTAAATGTACGTAAAATCAACATATCGGTGTGTAGTTATGTAAAACGGTGTTATATAAAGTATAACGTTTTTCCATTTAGTTTGATAAGCTCCGTATGAAATGGCATCGCATGCACCGATGCCTATCGAAGGCAGCCGTGGTTTACCGCAAACGGTCGGCAGACGTGAGTCAAGTGCCCCCGACTATACTTGCCCACGACCTTGACTGCTGGCATAACGAGCCTATTTACCACTGCCTCGCAGGAAACACTTTGGAGCTATAGTTAGCAGCACGCTTTTAAGTGTGGCTAAATTAATCAACTAAAACGAAACAATAAACTACATTTATTGTAAGAATTTATTTTACCAGACGAGGCCCACTGAGCTGTGTAATCTCTTTTTCAGAAGCGACCTGGTCACAAATGACAGCTCAATGAAGTGGCTTATCACGTGGCAATTCATAGCAGTCAAATACTCCAAACGCGTGTTTTATTAATTGTGGCGAGAAAAACTCGAGGACCCGGAGAAAAAAACCAAGCGACCACGGGGAGAACATGCAAACTCCAAATATACAAGTGTCAGGGTCAGAATAAAACCCACGACCTCCTGTATACCAGGTGAGGTAGTTAACATCTTGCCACCGTGGCGAGATGGTGGCATCGCCACGAAGCATTGTTGCCTTCATTCGAGGGATTTGGTGCGTGCTGTGGAAAGTTAGCCGCGCTGGGCATCATCGGCAAATGAACGTGTGTGTTTTATTTAAAGTGGCGATTTGGAGTGAGTGCACTCTCCCCAGCTGGACACTCGTGAGCCGTTCAGGGTTCAAGCGCATCGGCTAACTTGAGCTGACGTGCTTAGGCTAAAAAATGCAGCCTTGCCAAATGCCCAATGAATTCTCTCCGCTGATTTACATTGGGACCGCAACCCCCTAGAATCCTAGATGTTTGAGACGCAGTGACGTGGATGGCGTTAATAAATGTTGGACTTCAGATGTACAAAGCAATGCTATAGTCTACGTAATGTGAGCAGTTGTTGTATTTCTTTATCTGAATGTATAATTAATTATTGTATGTTGCTTCAAATATTTCCAGTTGGCAAAAAAAAAATGTAATCTCGTTTTTCATTGCATGCTAATGTGATGGGGTTTTCATGTATTTTTTCAGGAACTGAATAACACGACCTGGTTATCAGCAGTAAAAAACTAAAATCGTACAACCATATTCAATATTTTTAGAAATAAAATGTAAATAATGCATCATTATAACGACGGTGTTGTATACACGTCCCTGTTGGTTTTTCTTTCAACAAAGTCACATTGACCAGCGTGGTGAAGTATGGTCAAACAACATGACCGATATGGCCCACGGGTGGGGGTGTGTGTATGCATATATTTGATTACACCCATCAAAACTGACTGGGAAAAACATCTTCCCTGGTGTAACAATGAGGGTTGAATTCCCCTCATTTAATTACGGGGATATAGATTGCGGTATAGTTCATGACCACGATACACAATATTGCAGTTACAGCTATGACAGTATTTCGTACTAAATACAATTCATTCACCTGCATGTATATTAACCATTGAAAATCTGTGAACTGTCAAAATGATGATTTTAGATGTATTTTTTTATATTTGTAAAGCTGTATGCTGGTAAGTGTGTATGAGTGCGATATTTGCCGTGTGCATAAATTATGCACCGTATGTATATAATGCGCAATGCCCATTAAAAAATATAAACCACTGACTCTTTATGAACCCGCAAGATCGTGTAATTCCACTACAGTAAGCGCAAGCCAAAAATCTGGCAAAGATTCAACGGAAATCTGGCATGGAAAGCACTCCTTTTAAAAATGGGTCAGTCTGCACAAATATAGGCGAGTACACAATTTGCAACCTCATCAGGTGTCGTGACCATTTTTTGTGGTAGCTATTCGTGAACATAGGGCACCACTAATTACAAAAACAACAAAAAAAATCTAACATTTTATAATTGCTTTACTCCTCTTGGTTTTTTTTTAATTCTTCCATTTTTCATTTTGCTCCGCACGTTGTATAATATTGCTGTCCTGCAGCAGCTTGAGCGGGCCGATGATGCATTTGCCGAGAGACTCGGTGGCTTTTTCTTTAAGATGGTTTGTTTAATCGCAAGCTAACTGGGGCTAATGGAGGTGGCAGACTGGGAGGTATCTTGCAGTGAAATGTATCACTTCTCCACCAGCTGTTCAACCCATCTGTTCCCCACCGCAAAACGGATGCGCTCCGGTCAACGCTAATGCATTCCACGCTGGCAGCGCCTCCGTTCACGGGCACACCTCGCCGGCTTGGTCGTTGCCAGCTTCCTGGCCGGTCTTCACGCGAGATTCGCGCATTATCGATGCCTCGCTAAACTCCCCCGTTTTCTTTTTTTTTTGTCTGAGCGATCGGTTGCGTTGCACTTGCGTAATTATTGACTTACGCTAGCACTAGTTTCCAGCGGGCCTGCCCGCCCCCTGCCCCCCACCATTGCATTCGACGAGGGTTTGCCGAGAAGTTGAGAGGTGCAGTGCTTGGGGCTCAATACGAGGAGGAGGAGGATATACACACCACGCGGGAGCTATATTTTTTGGCCACATAAAAAAAATGTGAACAATGACCAAAGCTCTTTTCGAATTCATACTTTAGGGTAGTTTCTCAACTCCGGCTCTTGCCACCCACCCCACCACCATGGCAGGGTCTACGTAGCTTAAATATGGTACGAAAATAATGGAGTGTTTATATCAAATCCAAAGCAGGCATCGTAAGTGCTACACAAAATTGGCCTTTCACGAAGCTAAGATATTTTTTTCAGGAATCCACCAGAAAACATGGTCATAGCATGGTTAAGCCTGCAACCATGGGGTTCTAGCACTGTGCTTTGTTACACAATGACCTTTGAAAAAGATTCTCGTAAAACGTTTTACTCGTGCAGCCATTTCTATTTGGCAGCAATCGTCAGGCAGTAAACGGGTGAATAATCACATTACAAGCCAAGCCCGTGCAGGAAACACGACAGAGGGTGTTGGGCAATAGGGCAGAAAATATTTCTGGTAACTGTTCTGCCAGCGAGACTTAAATGATTGGCATCCAAGTGTTTACCATAACCTTACTGACATTCATCTCACACTATTATTTTTATCATTATTATTCTTTATACATTTTCAAACGCATTTCTATGGACTGCCGCCTACATTTTTTTTGGTTTAAATAATGGGCGCCGTGTAATAATTGATGCTGACAAGACACCCGCGGTCATGACGGACGACAAAGCGGCGGCCAAAAAATGAGGGCAGACGCCCGAGACTGAATCCGTCGCCGAGAGACGCAGCGACGGAATGGCTGCGCCCTGCAGAAGCCGGACGGATAGTTGCGTCGCATAACCACGAGGGATTGCCACGACTTGGGGGGGGGGGGGGGGGGGGGGGGGGGGGGTGCAGCCTTCATCCAGCAGTAGATAGATCACGGCTCATGAGCTGCTTGATATTGTACCGCGCGATCGCTTTTGCTCGACCAATGTTGCGGCTTGAAGATTTGGGGGGGATTGTGGACATGGGGCGGGGGGGGGGCATGGGTAGGTCCGTGCATGCTACTCACAATGGTGCAGCAGAGAGGGAGGAACCACCAAAGCAGGGCGAGGGCCACCAGCAGCAGGATGACGAGGATGGCGATGAGGGCGATGATCCCGTTCGACTGTAACGAGATGCGTCGCGCGCGTCAAAGAACGTCAACGCCAGCGACAACCGCGGCCGTGCGGTTCGTACGGCGATAACGCTGGACGCGATGGTGCACACACACACACAGCCCCGTCTTTGTTCGTGGCGGCAAAATGTTGTTGTTTTCTTTCCTTGGTATTTTTTTTGTTTTTCCCTCGCGTCTGTATGGAGTCTATTCACCGAAGCTCAAGGTTTGCGTTGGATTGAGGTGGAATCGTTCTTCGAAGCGATGTTACACCAATAAGGTGACGGATCCGTTCACGCCGTTGTTTATTGATTCAGCGATTCGCTGGAAGTCGCATCGTGGAACATTTGAAGGAAGTGTGCGTTCGCAGAGCCACGTCCAGTTTCGATAAATTGACCGAAATATCGATGTTAAACAATTCAGTCGATACAACGGACAATCGGCTTTTCTAATGTGCGTAAATCCTCATCTTTAAAGGCATAATAATCACAGAGATTACGCAATTTGACGCAACTGTGTGTTCAGCCTGTAAACATCTGCACGAAACAGCAACAGATTTAAAGTATTGTTTCCCTTCCACTGAATCTGTTTTTCTGCAGCAATGTTTTTTTCTCGCACTAAATTCCCAGAGTGGCTTCGCCTAAACAGTGACTATTCAAAGAAACTCATGAAAATATTTGCCATGTTGTTTTCCATTTTTATTTAGATTTCGTCTAAAAAAGTAACCACACGCCAACAAAACAAAATGTTTAGTGCTTGCATAACTTAACAAATATCCTGTTTACGAAGAAACAATCTCAATTAGTTGGTCCACACAAGTCGCAAAGTAGAAAACCGACTGCTGAACATTATAATAATTTCCAGCCAGCGAGGAGAGGACCCCGATGCTCTCTTGGCTCACCTTCTTACACGGGCGGCTCGCTCGTGATGCGACGACGACGATGACGACTCCCGCGCATGAACGCGCTCGCGAGTGAATGAACGAGACGCAAGCAAAACAAACCGAGGCGGGGGGGGGGGGGCACAGTACCCCCCCCCCCGATACCTTCCAGCGGTGCCATGACCCTTGCGTTCACTGGCCTCAGCGACTCGTCCACCCCCCCCTCTCCCTGCCTCTCTCCCAAACACCGCACCAACCCCACCTTCCCCTCCCTCCCCAACTACCCACTTCCAATTGTGCCACTTCTGCTTCTGCTGCTTCTCAACCTCACAATTCCCCGCTCCTCACCTACCTCCCCCACCACCACTCGAGTGCCACCTTCTCGGGCACCGCGACCAGCGAATTCCCCCGGGGGGGGGGGGGGTCACCCACGCGTCACCCGCCGATCGGTCCCACGCGCGCGCCACGTGTGCACGTGGCGCGCCACGTCCCATGGAGCTCATCAATCTGGTTGCGGCGAGTGAATCGCGGCAGGCACGGGGCGGGTGGGTAAGGGGTAGAGGGGGGTGGCGTTGCAGCCTGAGACACGGTTGTAACCCAAGCGGCAATGCCTTACTCAGGCAAGCGCAGGCGGCCGCAACGTTTGCGAGGTTTGTTTGCGTTTAGAACAAAACAATTTATCTAATTGGGCACCCCCCCGCCGCACCATCATCTCCGCCCCCCCACCACCACCACCACCACCCCTGTTCACCCTCCCAACAACCCTTTACCACTTCCCTCTGCACCCCCCAACGCTGCTTGTTGTTAATGCCCTCGGGATATCGTTCCATAGAGCGCCCAACTGTAAACCGTGCAGTAGGTTCATCTTGTTACATGACATCATGTCACATTCTCCCTCATGTCATTAACTTGTTTCTATGTTGTTGTTTTTTTACTTGCTTTGTCCGTACTCTCAAGTTATTACACAAATGTGTATCTCGTTAATTAACCCAAAATAGCGTTTTAAACTTGTGAAGTATTTATTTCTCTTGAAAGCACAAACATGCAGCTTTGAAACAGAATGGCCTGCAAGTGTGTTGACTGGAATAACAACACCCTAAATGCAAACAGGCCCAACACCAAATTAACAAACACGCAACTCTTTTAAATTAATTTCGTATTTGTTTTAACATGAGCACCTTATATTAGCGTACCGTCGTTTAATCTATGTCAGTAAAATTAAGCAATTGAGCCAAAATTCATAACGATTAAGCGGATATGGATGGAATCTATCGTAAATATATTTCATTGGTCCTATGAATAAAAACATAAATACGTATTTTTGGTGATTATGAATCTCACGTGATGATAATGCCATTGGAAGCATTGATAGTGAGGCACAAACAACCGCTCAAGATGAATTTCCTATTTGACACACGTACGAATAAGCGCTTAAATATCCTCTCCTCCTTCATGAATATTTGTATAATTGGCCACACATATGTTTGTGCGAATGAGCGCGAGCCTCCTCACGGTACATTAAAGAAATATATAAAGACAACCTCCCCCCCCCCCAAATAAATAAATAAACAAAAATAAAAATTGTTGATGGGCGTTAACATCGCGCAAGCGACGTGTGGGATGCACCCATCAGGTGACGTTATGCGTGGCCTTTTCGCGGTGAGCTGAGCGGTTCTGACTTGGATGCCGGCGTGGGCGGGCGAGACGTCGCCTCTTCACAACGTCAGGGACATGGGGAGCGCGCGATCCGCCGCTCCACGCCGACAGTCGTCGGGCAGCGGAGTGGCGTTGTGGGGCCCAGGGTCCGGGCGGTGGAGGCGGGCGGGGGGCGGGGGGGGTGCTTGGTGGAAACGTCCTCGGCTCGAGAAATAAAAATCGCTTTGTGGAACCGGTCGCTGTGGAGGCGCCGCCTGCGGAGTCGAGAGCGCTGTCGAGCGGCGCACAATCGACCGTCCCGCCACCCACCCCGTCATGTTATTTATTCCCCGTGCGCCAACATCGTCGTGCATTGCGGCGACGATGAATGGACTCGCGTTACGGTATTTGCGTTTTTTTGTTTTTACGTCGAATGGGGGACCCATGTTTCGTACGGAGTGCCTTTGCCAGTAAGGTCTCTCGCGCGCGTTTGCGAGGGACGAGGTGATTGACACCCGGAAGCAACCCTTGCAAACGAGAATTCTATCTCGAGGAATTGTGCAGGTGAAACATTTATATATATTATTTTTTTTATAACAAAGGGAATAAATTAAACGTCTGGTATTCCGGCAGCATTTGTTTAACAAGCCAGACTACTGATGAGACCAAGAAGGTTAAAACCGCCTTAAACAAATGCCACTTGACAATGTGACACATTTTGATTAAAAGCTTTCGTGACTGCAGGGATTCATATTCTTGGTTCTTTCAGTAAAGTCACGTAGAAGGGAAACAATCAAATAATAAATATATAAAACAATAAAATTCTCACGACGTTTCGACTGCAACACAAGCAATCATCATCAGGTGTGAAAACCACAGCAAGAAAATTTGAAAAAGTGGCGTTTTTTTAACGTTTGCACCACGGAGAGCGATTTGGCAGTTATTCAGATGGACGAGTCCATCTATGTTCGGAAAAGAGGAGGGGGGGGGGGGGGGAGACGAAAATAACTGCCAAATCGCTCTCCGTGGTGCTAACGTTAAAAAAACGCCACTTTTTCAAATTTTCTTGCTGTGGTTTTCACACCTGATGATGATTGCTTGTATTGCAGTCGAAGCGTCGTGATAATTGTATTGTTTTACATTTTTATTATTTTATTGTTTCCCTTCTACGTGACTTTACCGAAAGAACCAAGAATATAATGTGTGACAAGCCAAGTAGGCTGATGGACCATGTTTATATTTGTTCAATAAAAAATGGAGTGGAGCATTGGTGCAATCTTTTCTATTAGGCGAGGCTTTTAATCAATTATTTGGTGTAATGTTCTGCATTTGAGGGACTCTGAGCTCTGGCTCTGGCTCTGCACCTCCGAATTCTAAAAATATCCGTGTTACGAATTGAGTTTATTCTTACTTTGACCAGCTGACTATGCTGTGGAGCTGGCGACCTGCAATGAATTTGCTTGCCAGCCAGGATTAAGATCAGTGGCGAGTGAAATCTGCCAAACCAATCTTGTACCCCACACACCTCCGATTAGCACGGTTGGCGACGTACGGTGTGAAAGAAGTTCAATATACATACATTCAAAGGTTCCCCCATATAGCCTTCATTAGACTGCTGGGGCAAGTGCTGTTAGCGAGCACCTATGTTTGACTTGCATCACACTGGGATTTTTGCACACAGCATTGTAATACGGTTTTTTTTTCCCAGAAGATTTGCTGGTGTATCCAGGATGTTTCTGTCGCGTGTCCTCGCTTTAAGATGTTTCTCTGTTCACATTTTGTTTGTTGCGGTTGCACCCGACTCAAGAGCCGCATTGCTCACAGGGCTATACCTAATAAATGAAACTTGAAATAAATGAAACCTATGAAGGTCGGCACGGCACAGGAGGGGTGGGTGGCCAGCACCACGCCCGGCCGCCTTTGTCTCCCTAGAGGTGATGATTACATACCTCACCAGGTACTCATGTGAGGCTGAGTCGACCTAGGGGAGGCCCAGGACCAGTTCAGATAATCGTCACTGGTGCTGGTCGTGAGCGAGAATCGAATCCGGGTCGCCGGGTTCGTAGCGCAATGCGCTAACTGCTGCGCCACCGCTCCCCATTACATACACACCCTCCCCCCCCCCTCACTTACCGCTCCCTTATCCTTCACCAAGCTGCCACAACTACCCAGTGTGGCAGATTAGGGACAAAGAACTCCCACGACCGACTGATGCAGCACGGGGATGGGCCCTCCGCACGGCGGTATATTGGGTAAAGGGCTGTACGCTATTTCTGCGTTGTCGATTATACTTAAACGTGATTGCAAACAGCTGCGCCGTGAAGCAGCCTCCGAATGAACGAGTTTCTCTCTATTTTTTTGGTGACAATCTTTTGGAATGTGCACTATTTTTATTTTTACACAATTCTTTTGTTGCGACCCATTATGCTGGCCCTCGTGTATCACATCTGTCACGTGGACTAGTAGACAACTTCTGGAGCTGACCACTAAAAGTAAT